AACTAAACGTAACGAATGACTGACTGACCTGACTCATCAATTGAAATGATTTTTAACCGGGCCATGTGGAAATTATCAGACTTTTATCGGAATGAGCTTGAGTATCACCGTTAGGGATACTTTTACAGCTGTACTAAGTAATAACCGTGTGTTTTATAATAAATATAACAGCCGCGCGGTTTCACATGCTGCTTAACTCCTACAGATTTTAATTTAATAGCTCATAGCCTTCCTCTAAAAATAACCAACAAACACAAAAAGAATTGTTTTATTCGAACCAGTAGTAGACTTATAATATTAGAATATCTAGATGTAATAGTCTGTTAATGTTCTGCATCAATGCTTATTCTGCTGTTTTATTTGATCTAAGCGCCTATGGCTGAAGACAGCCAAAACGCTTAGTAACATATTTACGTATACATATATATATGTTTTTTAAGAGGGGAATATCATTAAATGGCTTCTCTCATCCAGGGTGAGACGAGAGGCAGTGTCAGACTCTTCCTGACTAGGAACACCCAGTTTCGTTGCTGGCTCTAGGCCGAGCGCGAGGCCGCGGTACCATACCTTATTGGGCTTGCCCCGCAACCCCCACACGTACTTATTATAAGTATAGATAATATATGCAAGGCGTAGTATTGTATTCGTAGGTAAGTAGTATGAAAAAAATTCATAAAACTATAATGTTCAGAGTTAACACTTTAAGCATTATAGTCAATGAAAATAGATAAATACATATTTATCCATTTATGTGTCAAATAGCTACACTCGCGCGGTTTCACTCGCTGCTCGGCTCCAATTAATCGTAGCGTGATGTTTTATAGCCTATAGCAATCAGGCAGGCACATTATATAAGTGAAAAAATTTTGGCAATCCGACCAGAGGTTCCAAAGATTACCCCCTATATACAAACTTACAAATATTTCCTGTTTATAGTATTAGTACTATCTTTATAATATCTCTACTTCTATAGTATAGATATAGATTGTTCTGCTTACGGGCTTTTTTTCGATACGTACGTAGATAGTGGCAAACGAGTCTACTAATCACCTGACAGTAATTAATCAACACCGCCCAGGGACACACGCAATAACATACTAAAGGAGTTACAACTGCGTTGCCGACTCTGGATTTAGTCATTTGGCATTTTTGAGTAACATTCAATTTATTCGGGAATTAAGTATAGGAGGGGTAAGGTTTGGGCCACTGGTAACCTTGATCACTCAGTGAATGGTGAGCGGAGTGCGTGAAACACATCAGACAAGTTTTGTTTAACGCCTGTAGTCTATAGGACCATGGTATCATTCCAGTGTAACTGACCCGTTCATATCGAAGCATGAATCTCCTACTCTCACTCTTACCATTTGATAAATAACTAGCTACTCTCGCGCGGTTTTACCCGCTGCTGTTCGTTGAGTGATGTTCTATAGCCATATATATACAAACTTACAAACATACAAACTTACAAATTTTAAATATTAGTATAGTAGTATAAAATTTAATAAATGTGTTACTTATAAAAAAAATGCGTAGTAGGCAGGTATATTAATTTATTTATTAGGTAAAATAATAAAGTAAGAAACTACTAATCGTACCGTTTAGGTAGATTTAATTTAATTTGGCATTTCTTGGCATATCTGTGACATGTAGAGTTTTCGCAGCAATCACTGTCTGAAGTGCACTGTAAAATAAATAGGAAAAGATATGAAGAATAATATTTACAAGCATAGATCATAATACCTAGAATAAAACACATAAAGTACCTACAAAATACAAGTGTATCACATAAGTCATTCGGCTAGTATGAAACTGTGTATACCTAGGTAACATTACTTATAAGTATACCTACATACTTACTCCATAATTATTGGTACCAAAAACTGACAATTTAAATACTCAATCATTGTAAAAAATGTGTTCACTAAAGTCAAAGTCAAAAATCGTTTTTCCAATAAGACCCTTACAGGCACTTTTGAACTTCAAACAAAATTTTAAGATATGCATAGTGTCAGTCAGTCCTCTTAGTGAAGCTATTTGCTCGTTCCAAAGTGTAGAATCCGATGGAGAAGAACGAGCAAGAAACTCCATGGTTACTCTTTCTAAATCAGTTTTACATACAGATTCCTTATACAAACAGTTGGTTCAATTATAACTTATAGATATGTTGTACAATTAATTTGCCAAGGCTTCCTAAATAGTAATCCTTGTGTCGGGATAGATCTCGATCTTCCTCGTTATACAAACGTATGGTTGTGCTTATTATAACTACACATTGTATGCAATAAAATATGTGAATCAATTTACAGAAAAGGACAAATCACATTTTTATGAGTGTGTCATTCACACTTACTTAATATGTAAGTATGTAAATGTGTGTGTGTGTTGTTGTTGTAGCACATACGTATTTATACCAACCAGGTAATAAGCTAAGTGCCTAATGTATGTAACATTGACGATGAAAACAAAATGTATACAAATCTAATTTAATTATGTAAGCTCGACAGAGCTTACTCTCATTATAAATGGGACTTTATAATTTGGTGTAGTTACCTGTAGGTTTGCTTACTAGCAATGCTTACTAGAGAAATTAATATTAACACAAACTCTAATCTACCAATCGATCGGTTATTGTATCTGGATGGTTGTTTATAGGTACTTACGAAATAACATCTTAATATAATTGTACTTACAGCAGTACCGTGAGACCCACAAGAAGATCCGGCTGAACTATATTGAGGATCAGGCATCGCCTGGGAAGTCTCAATCAAATATTGTGTGAACACAAGGAACAAAATAATGGAACAGGCACGACGCATTTTAGACAATATTAAATAACTACTACAGAATATTTTACTAACGTCTTAATATTATCCCCAATGCAATCACACTGCTGTTTAAATAGTAGTCATGTTTGTAGGTCTGTTAAATGGTCAAGCGATAAACCGGTTTTCCTGTTTTGACTCAGACTACAAACTCAGTTTCTATCTATAATTTTATAAAGACAAAAGATCCAAGTTTTCGTCTGTTCATTCTAATTATACGCTCCAAAACCTTACTTCAAGGTTTTTAAAAGCATTATCTTAGCCGTATGTTTATTTTTAAGGTATTTTAGGAAGCTGAATATTGTTTCAAATTGATTATTGAATTAACCTACTTAGATTTAATGATCCTTTGTTTTTGTTATTTAGAAGTTAGAATAATTAGTTCACGATTCGTCTAGGCAGTCAAGCAAAACATGGATTTGGGGGAAATAAACATGAATGAAAGTCACGGGACAAAGTCACGAGTGAAGTCACTAGTTTTAATAAACACTGAGATAACACAGGTCAATTTCTAGAATTGATGTCTGAAGATGGTAAGCACAAATAAATGACGTATGAATGTAGGTATCAATACGGCTTATATTATTTGTTTTGTTCACAAAAACCCAAGAATTTCGTTTTATCTCGGCTGTTTGGTGTACCAAAAATTGGGTAGATATTATATTATTTTGAGATATGGAATGATTTTTATACTTACTTACTCTGTTCTGAAATTAGTTTTTCTCTCGTTACCTGTAACTTTTCTGAGAAGCTCTATCATCTTGAATAATAAGTAGGTAGATAAGTACTTACATCCAATACTAATAATAATATACATAATTGGCCCGCAGGGCACCTTGAGGCGAGGTGACGGGAATTAGCGATCCCGCGGGCTACCATCATCCCGATTGCTCCAGGGAGGAGTCACCGTTCCTTATCTCCGGCTTGCCTTCATTGGCTGGTCGGAGTGAACGATGACGAGGAACAGGTCTCCCACCTCTGGCTTGCCTTCATTGGCCGTCCAGAGTGGAGTCGCGAGAGTAGTGATCCTGCTCGGAGGGTGGAAGCTGTTCGTAAGCGGCGAGTGGGCCAGTGATGCAGGATGCTTAGGCAGATGCAGATGATCTGAGTAGAAAGCTGGTGGCAGTTTCTTCACCCTTCAGCCACTCACATTTCCGTTGTCCCTCTGTTGCTATTACTAGCAACCATTCCCGGGGGCCCGGTCGGTGAGTTGGCGAGTCTCCGCCTGCCATTTTTACGTGTATAAATTACATTGTTTCGGCAGGTGCCATAGTCCTTTCATAGTTCCTATCCTACTAGCCCATAGCAACCCACACCCATAGCCTTGTATTTTGTTTCCATTGTCTGCAATAGTCCTACACTAACCGGGGACTGTCCTTGGGTGCATTCCCATAATGCATACAGGGATAGTCGCCGGTTTGTGTCCCATTTCATTTAGATTAAAGTTGTCTAAAGGGCCTCTGCGCAGTTGGCTCCGGCCCCTCGTACGCCTTCCAAATGACCGGGACCCTGTGGTCCCGTGATTGGTAAAGACATACATAATTGTAGGAGTTGAAGGAAACTCGGGGGAAGGATGTATCTCAGTAAGGTTCTGGAAGGAGTCTTGACCATACTTCCGGGATTGCTGTGATAGCCGTGGGATGCCTCTCCTTCCTCAAGCAGCTCAACGTATGTTGCCCCCGTGTCGCTACAAGCTAGCAGCCATTTCCGGAGCCCATTATTTCAGTTTGTCAGTGACCCCCTGCCTATTTATCAATATTGGTCAGGGGCAGGGGCCATAGTATTTCCATAGTTATCGTACCCACTAGTCCATATCACCCCTTTCAATAATTGCCACATTTCGCAATAGTCCTCCATGAACCGGGATTGTCCTTGGGTGCACTTTCATAGTGCATACAGTAATAATTGCCGGCTGATGTCCCATTTCGCTTATATTAGAGTTGTTCAACGGGCCTCTGCGAGTTGGTTTCGGACCCTCGTATGCCTTCCAAAGATCCGGGATCCTGTGATCCCGTGAAAGGAAACGAATATACATAATTGTACTAACATATTATAATCTTTAGATGTGCCACAATAATGTATTTCAGCATTTGGAATCATGTACCAACATGTTTTTCTTTTGATTTTAGTAGGTATCCTACCAAGATTGTTAAGTGTTAAAAAAAATTATGCTTGTAATTTCATTTAGTAGGTATATTTATTTCTATTGATTTTTTTAATTAGCAGAACATCTTCTTTACGCACCGGTAACAAAAGAGTTAACAGAGTATTTTGATGTCACTATTTAATGAATCTAAAAATCAAATGGTAGTCTGAAGGGAGCCTGCGTTGTTCTTTGTGGCTGCTTCGGTCTCTGCGGCGCCCTGGTACCCGTGTTGCCCAACAGGCCTCCCAAAGGCCCATTGTTCTGTCCACCCAATTGCTGCGGTATTTTTAAGTCAATGGGCAGTTGTGACAAGTTCAACAAGTCTCCAAGGAAATTCTTACAGAGAGCCCCTGTCAGTCTGTCTGCCATATTTCCCCAAAGACCGATTTGACAAAATCTGTAAAACAAAAACAAGAATTGCCTTAATTATTTGTTTTTGCCCTATATATTCGCAGTATAAACAAATACGATATAATAATATGTAGTGAATTTCATATTACATATTTATATATGAAGTATGTATACCTTCTATTTGCATATGTACTAAAACCTACCTAAAGTCTTTATCAATGGTTAAAGATTCGCCAATTTTCAAAAATTGGTCTTTACTCTTAGGTAGAATATTAGCAGCAAAACCAAACAGTGTATTGTTATCGTCGGTTTTATCAGACCCGTGGGCGAATTTGGCAATAAGTCCCACAAAGTTGTCTCGCACTCTCGCATCAGTACTGGAGACCTCATCGCCCATAGACTTGCCGTCAGGACCCAAAGGCTCAAAGATGTATGCTAGTTCGTCGCCATGAGATGGACCTTGCACTTTTTTCAGCTTTTCCATCTCACCGTCATCTTTTTCTGAAATAAGTATTTTAATTTGAATTTGTAATAATAAAATCTATTTTATGAGATGACGACTCTTCATTTCGTAGTCGGAATCACATTTACCGGCAAGAGCAACTCCAGGCAAGAAATGCCATCCTTTCGAGAGGTTCCCAACATGTTCAAAGCTGTAGAGGAACGCATGGCCCCCTGAGCTCCACTTCTGTACACTTTGATAAGCAGGGAAATTAAACAGCGCGTCACCTAAAAACAAAACCATGATATGCTAATTAACATATACGCTGTATGCCATCTAAAACAGTTTATTTTTTAGGAAATGTATATACCTACTTATTACGGAGGTTATCAATAATTGTAATTGAACGGCCTCACTACTGCGATTCGATAAAATATCTCAGTCTCGTCGTATTGAATAGGGAATATTTTGATGATAGGTAATCTGTTAATTAATTGTTGTAATTTGTCTTTAAGCTTTCTTTAAAACTAAATAACAAAAAATTTAATTCTAAATATCTAAATAAATATATATCTTATATTTATGTTGTCTTTCAATGTACCTACATATTAATTGATTTTTTTACATTTATTATTGTTCAGTTAAATTCCTTTAATCTCCAAGACTACCTATTTAGATGATCTGATGCAATCTCTAAACAAATGTTGTTACATTTAGAATAATATTTAGTCACGTTAATATCAGTAAGAATTTTATTCATGATTCTAAAAACTTATTTGTTAATAGCTTAGGTAGTTAAAGTATCGAATAATCCGTACCTAATTGTTCACAACTGACAACTCTCGAGCGCAACATGTATAGTCAGAATTTTAATTCGATTCCTGATTTGACATGACCTACTGTCATTTTGTGAAATAATGATACCACATATAACAGTGTAGTGATGAACACAAAAATCGATAAACAATCAGTGAATCAGTTTCAGGAAGGCATTCAAAAAAATACGGCTACCGAATGGTCTAAATGCGTATCCCATGTTGTCAAAGAAGGGGAATAAATGAGTAAGCTAGAAATGTTAATTGACAATAAAAATCACAGACACAATTCATAATAAATGTTACAGAAAGTAACAGCGATAGCGATAGCGATGACGGCGACAATTTATAAAATTTCTGTTTTATTTGTCATGTTCCTTCATGATCACATTTTTTATTAATTTCACACACAATTACAAAAGAAATGTCTCAGATCGTTAATTAATTGTCAAAACTAAATTATGGGGTCAGAAATATTTTATTTCCTGATAAACTTAGTTTACGAGAGTAAATTTATAAACGAGAGGAATCGATTCAGAAATATTCGATTTCCACATCGAATAATTTCGCAACGTCACTATTTATTACGTGTCATAACGTTGCAACACTGAAATTGTCAAATCTGGAATGGAGTTAAAATTCCGAGTATAGATTGTGCTAGAAACGGACTCTAACAATAAAAAAAAATTTTACAAAATAAAAAAACCGCCTTCAAAAAAAGTCAAGCAATAAAAGTTCCTACACTAAAAAGTAAAAAATAACAATTTGAATTAACTGTAAAAAAACTTAATTTATAGGTAAACTTATTTGACATTAATATTTTGCAAATATTCAAAATTTATTACTTATTTTTGGAGTCGGTGCCAGCATTTTGATGTTGAAACTTAATGTTAGTTAGGTTTTTAATATCCGGTGCCATTTTTCGTACATAATGCTTAAACATTTTCAATGTACTTAAAATGTTTTTGTAAGTACATATTTTTTATTTAAAAAAATGTGCAAATCGGACATTTTTTGTAGAGAAGTCTAATCTGTATTTATGTCTTAATTAATATACCTATATTTGAGTATGCAAATAGGTATTAAGTAGTTTTATAATTAAGTAAGAGGTAGTTTTTCAAGGGATTGTTGCCCATTTGTATTTCCTTGCATGGGCTGGCACCGACTCCAAAAATAAGTAATAAATTTTGAATATTTGCAAAATATTAATGTCAAATAAGTTTACCTATAAATTAAGTTTTTTTACAGTTAATTCAAATTGTTATTTTTTACTTTTTAGTGTAGGAACTTTTATTGCTTGACTTTTTTTGAAGGCGGTTTTTTTATTTTGTAAAATTTTTTTTTATTTGTAGCCGTTTAGTGTTTTTTTTTTTTATTATAATGTGTTATGGCAAAGAAGTCAATATCGTTCCTACATTTCTTTTGAAAAAGTTACCAATGTCATACTTATACGTAGAAATACATATCATAGTACATTGTTACTGTGTAATCGTTTTGATCTCGAGGAGAGATGATATGATGCATGAGATACTTATGACTTATAGTTAAAATAAAATAATAATCTTATCATAAATTCATATTAGTTCTCGCCAAATAACAAAAAACTAGATATTTTCATCAACAGACAGATAAAGTTCAAAGATACCAAATGCAATCTAATTTAGTATCTATGATTAAATACATTCGTACATAGAAAAAAGACCGATGCAATTATTGTTTTGTATCAATTGTAACCCATTAAATGAAGAATACTATTTTGTTATTACTAAGAACATTCATATATAGACAAGTTGGTAAAAATATAAAAGACCATCGCTATTGTAAATATACATTTATGACTCATTCAATGTATGAACCTTTTTTAAGTAAGTATTATCTACATATGTGCACACAAAAGAAACACAATTATTGTTTTGTACGACGCAATTATTGTTTTGTAACCCATTTAAAACGACTGTTTTGTTAAAAATGCCAATTAATTCTCTTAGCCTATTACCAGGAAAACGATAAGAACACAATGACGCATTTCACCACTAATGTGTAAACGCAGTCCACGTGGACTAATGCAAAATAGCCAATACTAGGCCAAACTCCGCCCCCAAAGGTGTGCGGTCCCGCTCTAGAACCTTTCGGCCCCATCGGCCATCTGTTCTACGAGCAATGTGCCGTGCCCACTGTCACTTAAGTTTGGCATTTCTTCGGGCTATGTCGGTGACGCTGGTTCTTCTGCGGATTTCTTCATTTCTGATTCGAACATGCACGGAAACTATGAGCATAGCCCTTTCCATTGCTCTTGACAGCTCTAATAAGCTTACACAATACTAGGCCCCATGCCAACCTTCCAGCTTCATCATCACATCAGTTCAATAGTACCTTACAGCCAAAGTGCATCTTATAACAATTCTAACAAGCCCAAACACGGCTAGGATATATTAATTAGGTACGCAGTTCCAGTGCCTACCTTCCAGCTCCATAATCATCATTAAATCAGTTCGATGATAACATTTCCAACATAATTATTTAAGATCATTGGTTTACAGTGCATTTTCATAGTTGCTGAACTACCTTGATTGTGATATCTATGCGAGTGTCAAGTTTCATCATCCATTTCTGATCTTCTTCACCAGTTCCACCTCATCAAACATTACTTTTTGACTGTAAATGCTTGAGTGCTCTATGAAAATATTAAAATTACTATATAGTTGCCTATAATATTTGAGGAGTTCCCTCGATTTCTCATGGATCCCATCATCAAAACTTGATTTTGAAAAGAATGGGACCAATCTGGAAGCATATCCTTTCAATCATAAAAAAAATTTTGCAAATCCGTCCATAAACGACGGAGTTCTGAGGTAACAAACATAAAAAAAAAAAATAAAAAAAAAAAAAAAAAAAAAAAATACAATCGAATTGAGAACCTCCTCCTTTTTTTGAAGTCGGTTAAAAAAGTCTACCTGCGGACTGCGTACAACAACAAAATATTAAAAAGGCCAGCCAACCCCTTATTGAGGGAGCGCGACTTGACAGCTTGAGCCCATTTTTAGTATGTGGACTTTAGATTTTGATAATAACGGTCGCGTTTTCGACAAACTATATGCAGCTTGCATCTAAACAAAGCATTAAATAAATTCATTCCAACCGGTTCCCGTAGAGAGCTTTATTGCTATCTCGTATTGTGGGCCGTTACCTAATCTATGTGGCTGGCCAGACAGAATTAAGTTTTAGAGCTGTAAAGCTGGCTGGCAGAGATTTATATTGTGTATTATGTAAGGTTTAGGGTATTTTTATGTAAATGGCGCTAATGTCACATAACATACACCAGGGACAATCTGAGAATTTCGAAAATATTTTTACTCTTGACACTTTGCTAGCACGATGCTTTCATCCCGAGCCCGCTATGTGATGGGATGAACGATTCCCATTGTATATTATTTAGCATTACAATAACTTGTTTCGTTACTCAGAAAACCTGTTATGAAAATTACGATGATTTTGTTACCTGTGGCCTCAGCAACTTCAGAGAGTCTATCAACGATATTAGTAGCTTGTTTAAGCAAGCCCTCGTAGTAATCGGTTACTGGCAACACGGTTTGCACATTAGGAGCCAGAGGTATCAGACCCTCCACTCCATTCACCACGTTCTGCAGACCACCAATTAAGTCCTTCTTTAAAAAGTCCTTTACGGTTTGAAGCTGATTCGTTAAGAACTTGTTGAATTTTCCTAGTGGAACAAAATGAAATCATCTCATTAACTCGCACAGGTGCTGTAAATTGGCCGGGATGTGCCGTCAACGTTACCTTGAATATATTATATCTTGTTTAACCAGACCAATCGACAAACCAATTTATAAAAATCACTATCACACAAAATAGCTTACCAAATACAGCCCTCGATGTCTCTGCCGAAGTAACACCAGTAAGCAATGGGACACGTTTCTGTTTCTTGTCCAGAGCCTCAGCTGGAGATTCAGCTACAATCGGTGGTAGACCTCGAAGGTCATCAGCACCTTCCACTCTCGCACCAGCACCTGCATTATTTACGTCACTTGTGTATTTCGCAGAAAGTATATTTATGAGTATATAACATACATTTGTTTTATCAGTGTACCTGACCGTCCAGAGATCTCTTCCAAAAATCTTTGCGTATCCACCATATCCATATTTATATCCTCATCCGCCTGTGAATATAATATGTACATTGTACAATTTTAACTATAATTCAACAATTGATTAGGGACATAATTTACAGGATATTTACCTGCACTAGTTTCTCGACGGGTAATTGTCTCAAACATATGAGTAGACTTTCAGCTGGTTTCTTGGGGCATCCTGTGCGTTCAGCTAAAGCTTCAGCGTGCTTGGCTGGATCGGGTCTAACCGTGCCTGGGGACAACGGAGCTCCAGACAGGGCGGCTACACCTGTAGCACTGCGGCCTTCAGGTGACATTGCCATAAGGGAAGCTGCACTGCCACCAGAACCTTGGCCCATTACGACCACTCGTTTTGGATCGCCACCAAAAAATTGAATGTAATCCTGGATCTGAAATCACAATGAAGATAGGATGTATCGAACTAAATTGTATTTATTAAGTTATAGTAGAATTAGTATATTATATACCAGCGGTCGCCCGCGTCTCCGCCCGCGTGTAGGTATGTCGATTTTACACTTTATCAAGTTTTTTTTTAATTTTCTCGTCGTACAAACTACTTCCACGAATTATTCAAGACCAAAATTAGCCAAATCGGTAAAGGCAATATCGAGTAACATTACATGTAAAAGTGGCATGGATTTTTATATATATTAAGAACTTAATTTACGTTTTGAAAGCAAACGGAACGTACATTCTTAAAATATTAATATAATTAACTCTTACCCAGACCATGGCAGTGTGCAAATCAAAAAGCCCAAGATTTCCTCCAGCGTCCCTCTGTCCTGTGCTCAGATACCCGAGTGATCCCAGACGATATTGCGCTGTTACTAATATTGTGTCTTTCTGGGCTAGATGTTGACCCTTAAATAATATCGTTATTATTCAAACAGAATCCCTTTTAACTTACTTAAAGTTTACTCTGTAAATTTAACAACTTACTCCATAAGATGCTGTCGACCCTGTTCTGTAGTTACCGCCATGTATGAAAAAGACAACTGGACTTCCTGCAAACGATTTCACGTTGTATTATTAATTTAAATTACGAATATTTGCTATAACTAGTCAAGAGTTTCTTCATAACAGGTCAGCTTAACAAATTTGGGAAAGGACTTTTAATGAATCTCTCATCTTAAGATACTCAAATAAAGCATACCTAGGTACTAATGCTTATTATACAAGGGATATAAATATTTTCATATATCCATATGAAAATACAAAATAGTTGAGGTTGAGAGTAATGAATTATTAGAAAAAAAGTTGTAATAAAAACTTCTGACGTTGTGACGTACCTTCCTCCGTAGCAGGCATTTTGGGAGCATACACGTTCAGACACAAGCAATCTTCATGGCCTATCATCCGATTGCGCTGGTAAGGGTCTGGTTGTGGGCATGGATAGCAGTGTCGGTTGGCCATCATCTCTCCAGCGAGGTACCGGCGAATGGGTCGCTGGAACCTTTGAGGACCCAAAGGTGGTTCCGCATATCTGTTCATCAGTTGTATATTTTTAAAAATACTACGTAGATAAACCCATTTGATATTATACAACCGAGGACAATTTAGGAATTCCTAATTTGTAGATAAAACTAAAAATAATGAAATGATTTGTAAAGAATCTAAACGTTGCCCCTAACTAGGATTTTATCCTGTATCGTGGATGTGTTTACAAACATGCAATTTCACATAAACACACTACACCCAGACCTGGAACAACAATTTGTGGTAATTTGTAGTTGTTATAACATATTGGTGTCAATAACTGGCTATAAGCGAAGGCCTAAATCAAAGCGTAGGTACTACGGGTACAAACCATTCTCAACAAAAGGATTATCTGTTGACCACGAAAACGGCGGAAACTGCTATCAACATCCGCCAAACTAAATTATTCACGCAAAAAGATTTAATATCAGTTTTGATTCAGTTTAATATTATTCTATAAAGTCATTTTATAAGTTTAAGTACCTATACTCATTTTTTATAATTACCTCAAATTAACAATTAGGTTTAGGATCTACTCTCGCGCGGTTTCACCCGCTGCTCAGCTCCATTTGATCGTAGCGTGATGTTTTATAGCCTATAGCACTCGAAACATTGTAGCTATCTATCAGTGAAGGAATTTTGGGAATCCGACCAGCGGTTCCAAAGATTACATACACACCCCTACATACAAACTTACAAATTTTACCTCTTTGTAATATAAGTATAGATGTAGCACTAGTTTAACTTTTAGAGCATAAGAATTACGTGTCTCATTTTAGTTTTAGTTTTGTTCGAGCACCTCTCTAGTAAGTACAACGACACGAGATCTCCTGAACACCCTTATTCGACCGATTAATAAAATAAATTGCTAGTGGCTATTACATTCTACATAACAGCTCATTGAAAGCACGTGTATTTATTAAATATTAAAAGAATTTCAGACCTAGAAGCCATCTTCAAATTATGAAAAGTAAGGGTTACCTGATGCCATAAAAGCTGTAATATCCAAGTTTATCATCTTTGATTCCTTCAATACGTGCGCTAAACCCGTGCCTCTGTGTAAAGACAACCGCTGCGTCAGGTTCAGGAGGCGAGGCAGGAGCGCCTCCGACGACAGCCTGCGCTGGCGCAAACCACAGCGCCGTCAACGCAAGCGCAACACACCACATCCAAAGCCGATACATCACTAAACCCCTGACACTCGCAATCGGAACTTGACATCCTACGACATATGATAATCGTCATACCGGGTTGCAAAATACCTACCTAACAGCCGATGATAATTTTTGTTGAATCCTGTCTGTGATCCTGCTTACCGATAAAAGTTCCCAAAAATAATGAAAAAATATAACATTGTTTTCCTCGTTCTCTAATGATGCGTAGGCACTAGATACCTACTAGGTACTGATATTGTAGGTATTGAATTTATTTGCAGAAACCTTTCTACTTATTTTTAACTTCCCCGTTTTTCCTGCTCCGATTACCTGATGGGAAGCCATCACCTCCCCTCGAAGCAAAACACCGGGGGACTATACAATAGTGTAGGTATAATAAAAAATTTGAAGCAGTCAGCAGTGCGACGTATTTTTGTTATTTTATTACTTTTAAAAGTGTAAAATCACTTTTAAGGCGTTTTTTGTCGTAACAAACATAGATCTACGAGTTATTTATTACGGCCGTGCACGTTCACTACATTCTACATGCAAATATAAGTCTAGATTTTTTTATGGAATATGTCGGCAACCGAGCAGACGGATTACCTGATGGTAAGTAATCAGCGCCGCCCATGTACAACCGCAACGGAGGAGTTACGAGTGCTTTGCCGACCTTTTAGGGATTAGGGTTTTGGAGATTTAGGGATTGGGAGGGATCGGGGGAGGGGAAGGATTGGGCCTCCGGTAACCTCACTCACACGGTGAAACACAACGCTGTGGTTGTTTCACGTCGGTATTCTGTGAGGCCTTTGTGTGTAGATGTTGCATTGTATCCAGTCTTGGCTTGTTTATTATTCTAATTCTACCAAAAAAGCTCCCAACCTAATACAGCTGTAGCACTACTTACATTGAAACTTCCCAGAGAAAGATCGAAATCGCGTTTTTTGAGGCGCCAAACAATATATATCTACCGAACAGTGATTGATGTTTGATTGATATCCATACTTACAATACCTATTATCAAAGTACGAATTACTATTTGTACGAGCTACGCTGCACATTAAAACCTTAAGTACGATATGACGTACACTTATGTAAAGGTGCACTACTGTTTAGATGTGCACTTCAGACACAATAAATAATTGTATAATTATATTACGAATATAATTAAACAGCAGTAACGCCAGCATAAAGCACTTATTTAACATAAAAAATCTAGCCTAATAAATCAGAATATTTCACTGTTTGGCTCAAACGCAACACGGGGTTTTGACTACCTCTTACTGACTTTTCACTGAATTTCCAAAAAAGAGATTTCTAAATAAATAACATTTTCATTCTAAAGAATATAACATTTTCTTTGTTCTATTGCCATTGCATTGGGGATCTGATGATCGGATACTAGGGAAATCAAAGGGAACGAATCGAAATTTGTAAATAGTCTGTTTAATCATGTCGTGATTGTGTTTTATTTATTAAAATTTTATGAAGGTATTATTTCTTTTTTCTCAAGAGTAATTCATCAAATGACTTCTCCCGTCCAGAATAAGGCGAGAGAGCGTCAGACTGAAAACGCCCCGTTCCTTCTGCTGCTGAAGCCTATGAACGTATTGAGTTGAACCCACGATAAAACCGAAAGACAGTCTAGAGAAGTTCTCGAGCGTTTACAACTATGACCTCGTATTTTGATGAGAACTTTATACCTAGAGGACGCGATTGTCATTAAGTCTGAGGAACCATAGCTAAAGCAACTCCTTAACGGTTAACCATGCCTCTATTGTTGAAATTTTAACATCCATGTCGGTTTTAATTTGTTGAAAAGATCTTTATAATTATTGCCCCTCTAACTTTTGAACCATAAGTTTTAAAAATATGAAAACAAAATTCGGACCTACAATTTTATAAATACTAACTTTCTTCGACAATAATAATTATTTTGGTCTCGATAGGGTGAACAGTTTTTGTTAAAAAAAAATTAAACTTATTTTGCAATTTGACCGTACATGGAAGGACTTTTTTAAACTTAGTTTGTATACATACTATCCTAAATGTATCATCTTTCAAATAAAATAAGAATTGTTGAAATCAGTTTACAGTCAGAATCAGTGGGGATACTTAAATACTTATTGTGACAGACGGGAAACTACGAAACCCTGAGCGTAGCCCGATATGCTCTTGATCGGTTTTTACATTTGGATAAAAGCATTGAATTTGACTAGTTGAACTAAAAAACTACCTTGTATTATTACTGAATTATTATTATGGATGTATTTGTCAATCACAGGCCCACAGACCTTTGGGGTCACGGAGTGGGGAATCTAGGCGCCCCCCAGTGACTTCAGGGAAGACGGTGGCACAGTGGTCACGTGCCGCCGTGCACACTGACGGTTAAAGAGGTCACGTACCTCTCGATAGAGATGTGCCATAACAAGCGTTGCACCAAAGGGGCTCTGGAGTTGATCTATCAAGAGGTCCCGGTGTCCCTTACCTATAGGTGTTGATGGTGCCCACCGGGAAGGTTTTAGTGAGGTAAAAATCCCACACTCCCTAGTCTTTCTCCCCAAAAGCTAGGCGCCTTTTGAAGGTTTCCCCTGTTAACAAAAAAAAAAGAAGGAGATATTCTGGGCGTCGGCGAAGGACTACACATCACCGGCCACCATAAGCATGGGCCACAGAATTCTCTCTCAAACTATTGTTTTTTTTATATCAGCTAGACATAATGTAGTACGGTCGATTATACAATGTGCCTGCAATATATAAATATATAAAAATAACAAAAAACATTAAATAACGTCTCCACGATATAACTTCGTGCAGCACTTACAGCTGTTCGCCTTTACAAAAAGGTAAAGGACTCTCTCCGTAGTTCACACTTTATTTCAGACTGCTTCCTTTGGAGTGAATCAATGATTGTTTTATCGGGCTTATTGGACGATTCGCACGAATTTAACTCGCACAAAACGTGCGAATCGACTCCTTTAAAACATATTATTTTTTCTGTAGTCGATTAGCGCGAATCTAACTCGCACAAAACGTGCGAATCGACACCCTCACAAATATGTAGTAGGCTATTCGCACACATTACATTTTAAGATTTAAAAAATTAAAATACAGTCGTTTTCAGCCATCACTAAAATAAAAACAAAAAATAATCGAAGTTTAAACAGCAGATACTTACCTACTTGAAAGTAAGAAAGATCTGTACGGAATAAGTGATAATAATAATTACTTAAAACGTGGCATAACTACATTTTTACTAATATAAAATATGGTGGATAAAGTTATCACCACACAATAACTAGTTTGTAAGTCACAGAATCAATGAAATACAAACCGTTGGTTACAAATCAACATACCTATATGGCGATTGTCCAACCTTCCTCAGGAATGGTGACAACAGCTGGCCTACAACACCCTACATCAATACCTGCCAGAAACTAAATCCCAGAACCGCAAATCCTTGTTACACACACTGATAGAAAACAATTTATTCAACAATTTATTTCAGTAAACTGACACGCGTAACAGCATACCTACATAATTGCAGTTCATACACAATTATTGTAGAAAAAACACACAAAAGTAATTCAGAGTCCAACAATTTTAATTATTTTGCATCTGAGACGCTAATTTAGGCAAAATTGAAGTTAATAAAATACCTGAAATATATTCCTTTTCTAATGAATATGAATTACTTTTAACAAATAAAGCTTTCCAGAAAAGAACAAATTAATTTCATTAAATCCATTTTTCGGGCCAGCGATGTCGATGTCATGTCGCGTGGGCGGCACCAAGACAACAAAATAATCCATTAGGTACTTTTGCATAGTAATAATCACATCAAAATCATTTATTTTACTTATCTCATAGAATACTTCTACACGCTGTTCCACAGCTACTACTCGCTCATACTCGTAGTCGTATACGGTACGAGAAACTCACTGGCCTGTCAGTTCACTCCTCCATAACTTGCAAACGTTTTCAGGGAAAACCATTGTCCCCATCATGGACAAATGAGGTACCTGAGCCTCGCATGCACTCAGAATTCCCATTCAGTAATGTTGGTGTAGATTATGACAGACTTATCATGATTAGTAACCGTAAGGGACGTGGTAGTCAATTAATAAAGTCACACAAATGCATATTTGTTTGCTTTGCATTTAAAGTAATTCATTTGTAATCTATACTTATTATAAAACTATAGAGAGGTCAATTCTGCACATTAAATATATTTTCAAAATAACTATTAGGGGGTGATATTAGTGATCGATACTGGTGCCAAAAATGCGATAGGTAAGTAAAATTTTTGTCTGTCTGTCTTGTGAAACGGTTGACGCGCTCAAAGCCACCTGTATAAAATATAATAAAACATAGGTTATATCAAATATTTATAATACTAACCTCTTAGTTAGATCCTTACCATTCTATCTATGGACGGACATAGACGGATAGCGAAGACTTGGTAAGTAATAGGGTTTTGTACCCATTGGAGATGTAACCATAGAAATGAGACGATTAATAACAAATTGTATGTATACTTCGATTTTAATCTGTTGCTATAGGCTGCTTTTTATCAACACAGCACGCGGGCGAAGCCGCAGGCGGAAGCTAGTTAGTGATAATTAGTTACAGCACTAAATAGGTTCATCAATCGTAGAGGGAAACGTAAACATACACACATACTACTAATAAAGAACTTTATTAGTGATCGATGCTGGGAAACGACTTATATTTGTAGGTATCCAAAAAAAAATTGTTGCGCGCAATGTAAAGCAAACGAGCTTCGTGTCATTGTGTGCGTAGGTTCACAGCTTAGCATTAAAACGCTGTGATAAGTACGTAGGTCGACGTTTTACTTCGCAACAGCAAAACAATTCTGTAAAATACAAAATCCTACTGAGATGCACGATGTTTTTTGTGCGGGTCTGCATTTATTTATTACGTACATTACTGTTCGTAACTTCAAATGTGTAATTTATTTACAAAATCTAAAATTCAGGTAATGTTTTTTTGGAAAAAGTTTTGTAATAATACTTAGAACAA